GGAAACACAAATCATCTAGATTTTTTTTATTGCAAATCTCGCATTCACTCACACAACAGTTAAGCCCACTATCTAGGCGATCCAATTTAGATGTCAACACATTTTCTTCACTTGTAAATGAGATCTTCTAATAGATAACATAAGGATCACACAACTTTAGAACACTCCGCAGGAGATGACCCACCTGCTTTGCCTCCAACTACCATTTCTGTATACCCTCCACCGTCCTAAACTGTACGCAGTCGCTTAGTCTTCCTGAGTCTGAACTCATACCGCAACATAAACTCACAGAGATTACATCTCGCCCCTCGATCGGGGAATCACAAGCCATCAAGGCACATCTGATACTAAGCGCTCACGCACGCGTACGAACACGTGGAAGGAATTTCAAGAGTTTCTTTTCAAGCTGAATCAAGGACGCACGATAAGAATTCAAGAATGTGAAGTTTTCCTAAAGGTTCTGCAGCCTCTCGAGGATAAGTACAGACGTCTCCGTACCGATCCACGAGACTCTACTAAACTGGCTCATAACTCGCGAGACCAAGTAACCTAGGCTCTGATACCAACTTGTCACGACCCCAACCCCGGTCGTGATGGCGCCCAACACACTGCTAGGCAAGCCCGACCAATTTAACAACCTTAACCCTTTTTATGCAGTTCATGATTCAATTAACAAATAATTACTAAGTCATAATACTGAAACTCTGAAATATAGTTAAAACACACGGAAAACCCAAGTAGAAATACTACTACTACACAGCCCGAAGAATCCGGTGTCACAAGTCTGAGCCTCTAATACATGAGTATCAACCTACTACATATTGTTCTCTAGAAATGCGGAAATAAAGCAAATAAGATAGAAGGAAGATCAGGACTGCGAACGTCAAATGCAGCTACCTTGAAACTTCTAGATATGGTGCTAGGCAGAGAAGTCCTCACACAGCCTCAGGTGTACCTGGATCTGCACGCAAGGTGCAGGGAGTAATGTGAGTACTCCAACCCAGTGAGTAATAAACATAAATAAAGGCTGAGAATAAGAAATCCTGAATAGGTACAAAGTAATTCTATAAATACAGCAACTTGAACCCAGTAGTATAAAATCAGTAAAATTAGTGAAAACAATTATGGAAAATCCCACAACAGATAAATAATTAAATGACAATCAAATATGCAATGCAACACATAGACCGGTACTCTCCAGTACCCGCTGCGGCGTGCAGCCCGCTCCATTTATTTATCATCGACGGCGCTCACTGGGGGTGTGCAGACTCCGGGAGGGGCCCCTTACAGTCCAAGCGCAATAATAAGCCATATCGTGGCATCAACTAGGCCCTCGGCCTCATATCAATATCAATTTCATACCGCTGCGGCGCGCAGCCCGATCCCATACTCAGTCCAAAATCACATAAGCCTCTCTGGCACATTAATAATGAAATATTCAGCCCAAACTTCATTTAAAAATATTAATTAAGTTTCTAGTTTGAGAAAAGTGGCTGAGTTTGTAAAACAGTATTAAATTCTAGGATTGAGTTCAATGATATGTAGAAATGGTAAGAAACCAGTAACAACAATCCCTGAAGGATTTAACCAATTGGCACGAAGCCCAAATAGAGCAATCAACTCAATTAAAATAATAATAAGTGAATTTCAGTCAAATACGCAGTATATTCACCTACCGGGACGGACCAAGTCATAATCCCCAACGGTGCTCTACCCCACGCTCGCTACCCGGTGTGCAAGTCACCTCAATATAGCACTACGATGTGCAAACACGGGGTTTCAAACCCTCAGATCAGCATTTACATCTATTACTCACCTCAAGCCAGCCAAAATCCTAGCTCGCTATGCCCTTGCCTCTCAAATCGACCTCCTTGCGCGTCGAATCTGACCAAAACCACAACGAATACGTCACATTATGCTATAGGATCAATACCCAATCGAAAATAATCGAAAAACATCAATAATCCCGAAATTGACAAAACCCGAGCCCCGGGCCCACTTCTCGAAACTCAGAAATTTTTACAGAAAAGTGTTCTTCATCTTCTCCCGATTCCGTACATATAAAGAACACCAAAATCGGAGTCCGTTTGACCCCTCAAATCGACCCCTAAAGGTCTCATAATCTCAGGCCCCAAAATCCTATTTTTCTACTGTTTTTCATGAATTAAAGGCTGGGATTATGGTCTATAATCACCCATAAACGAGTTTTAATAATCAAATCACTTACCTCTGTGATACCCACTGATTTTCTCTCTTAAAAATCGCCTCAGAAGCTTCTTCCCGTTCAAAAATTGGAAGAAAACTCGACCTGCTCATTATAGGTATACTGTTCACGCGTTTTACTGCTCCCAATGGATTCCTTGTGAAATTCTAATGAATTTAGGCTTTTGAATCACTCAATTTGACCTTATAATGAAGGAGATATGTAGGTTTTAAGATTTGCAAATAGTGCAGGTTTTTAATACGCCGTCAGGGGCAATTTCGTCATTAACCTGAAAATCTGGGCAACCTTGGTAAAATGGCCATAAAATCCTCATACGATGTCCAAATTCGACGATTCTTTTTGCTACGGGTCCGTAATTACGATACGGATCTAATGCTTCATTCAAAACAGTAATCGGAGCTCATTTGTTCAATATGATATCATTTATGCTTGAAAAAACGACGTCGAAGCATAGGAAAAACGAGCACAACGCAACCCAAACCTATCCGAAACTCACCCGAGCTCCTCCGGACCGCATACAAACATACTAACACGTCACATATGATCATTCAAACTTAGCTGCACTCTCAAAACACCAAAACTAACATCAAAACACCAAATTTACATCGGATTCAAGCCTAAGTTCTTCTAAAACTTCCGAAACACGCATTTGATCAAAAACCCAACCAAATCACCTCCGAATAACCTGAAATTTTGCACAAACATCCCAAATCACCTAACGAAGCTACAGCAACTCTCGGAATTTTATTCCGACCCTCGGCAAAATCTCACCTATCAACCGGAATTCGCCAAAATACTAACTTCGCCAATTCAAGCCAAATTCTACACCGGACCTCCAAAATCACTTCCGATCACACTCCTAAGTCACAGATCATCCCCTGAAGCTAACCGAATCGTCGAAATCCACATCCGAGCCCTCTAACTCATAGGTCAACATCCGGTTGACTTTTCCAAAACAAGCCTTCCTTAAAGAGACTAAGTGTCTCATTTCCTTCCAAAAATCAACCCAATTCAACTCGTTCACACAAGACACTGATAATGAAGCATAACGAAGCAGGAAATGGGGGAAACGGAGCGGTTCTCATGAGATGACGGGTCGGGTCGTCACAAATAAAAAGGAACTTTTACCTGTTTCGTGACTCATTTGAATTTACTGTCGTTCTTAATAAATCCGTGATTCGTCGCATTAGTAATATTATTATTGGACCTTTAGTAAGTGTCGAACTTGCCATCTCGTCTCTACTTCTTCGAGATTAGGCGGGGTACTTACTGAGTACACATTATTTTCGTACTCATGCTACACTTGTTGTGCATTATGTTGCACAGGTACAGGTATTTCTAGTGGCCTACTGGGCATAGCAGCATGGATGATACGGAGACTAGGTGAGCTGTATTACTCGAGGTGACCTGCAGCTAGTATAGTCTCTCTCAGCATTGTATTTACTTTCTGTCCAATTTGTATTCCGGACAGTTATTGTACTTTATTCCATTCCTTAGAAATTGCTCATGCACTTGTGACACCGGGTTCTGCGATGATTATGGGATATTCTGTAATAAACCTCTAAAATTCTTTGTTTATTTGTAAGGATTATCTTTTACTAGCCATATTGAAAGAAAAATCGTAGTTTTGACAATTATTCAATGAGAATTTAATTGAGTGTTTATGGTTGGCTTGCCTGACAGCGATGTTTGGCGTCATCCCGATCCTTAATGGATTTTGGATCGTGACACATAATTTAGCCCAAAAAGAGGTCTTAAGCTATATTTGGAATTTGAAGTTTTGGTTTTCAAAATCTCCCCGAAACTAGATTAATTTGCCAAACGACTACTTCATGACTCAAAACTGTTTGGGCTTGTACATCGATCTGATCTTCTATGCGTTTCTTGAGACTTTGTGCGCGGCCTGCAGAAATTTTTGTAGAAATGACACCACGTAGTCACTCTAAAGGACTGCTATTTAAGAATTAATTAGTGCGTTCTAAATTTTAGTTTTTCGTTTCAAATTTTTGGAACAAAAATCTCCTAATTAAATTATTTTTAAATTAAAATATTTAGTTCAAAGTTTCAGGATAAAACAAGTATTGACCTATCTCTAAATAACATTCCTGAGAATGGTTATTTGTGGCATCTGCCCCGAAATTCTTCTCTTACATTGATTACTTTGCGTTTGCGGCTCATCCTTTCTTCTTGTGACTAATTGTTCCTTCAAATGTAATTCATAATCAGTATTAATTAGGGAAAACTATATTATATAGCTGGTAATATATATATATATATATATATATATATATATATATATATATATATATATATATATATATATATATATATATAGTATATTTAACTAGCAAATATACTTATTTTTGGCCGACCAGTCAAATGTACCTTTCGATTATCGAGAGTCAATTTGACTAATATTGATGCTAATTGGATTAGTTGAACTCAGTATTTTAAAGCATGTATATTATCTTATATGCTAACCGATGATGAGTTACTATATATTTTTTCATCGCACCCAGAAATTCTTTAAGGCATTTTAGTTATGGAGCCTTGCAATATGTAGAATCATGCTATTCACATATATGTCATGAACTTAAACTAAGCATGGTGCATTGGTGCTTGTTTTACATGCTAACAACTTTCAACCTGCATGGACTCTTGTTTCAAGCTAATAAGTACTATTTCCTTCTATGGCTATATGTACATGCATCTATAGCAAACTTTTCATTGCAATCAAACCCAAATTCCCCAGTAAAAGTCACCTCAAAATTCTAGAATGGCAAACGTTGTTGTTCTTGTCTACTTTGTTACTTTTACACTTCTTACCATTTTCTTTCCTCGAACTCTCGCTGTAACAATCCGGAGTGGCCTTATGCATAGGACTCATGGTTTTGTCGCGAACATCTCGATTGGTGAGCCCGCCATGTACCAGCTTGTACTAATTGACGCGAGTAGCAACAAATTCTTGATACAATGATATCCCTGTGTCAAATGTAGCAACCAAAAAGAAATTCCGCACTTCTACCCCGCTAATTCATCAACATATGTTGTAGAGCCGTACAACTCTCATATGTGTGGTGTGTATGGAGGTAAGCAAGGTGACAAAGGCAAGTGCTTATACAAATCAAAGTTCCCCGATCAGAGTGTGTCCATGGGAACCCTTGGCCGAGACACTCTTCAATTCACTACTACCTCTGACAACGGGAAAATGAGGGTTCCGATGATAGCTTTTGGGTGCGGAACACATAATGCTGGAGGTGGATTTGGCGACGAGTATAGTGGTATACTTGGTTTAGGGCCGGGTGAGACATCACTAGTGAGACAAATAGGGTCGTCCCAATTTTCTTTTTGCATAGGCAGCCTTATTATTAATGATCCATATAGTCACCTTATTATAGGTGATGGAGCAACGATAGAGGGGAATCCAACACCCTTTGAAATTTATCAAGATTCATACTATGTTAAGTTGGATGGGATTAGCATTGGAGATAAACAACTTGCAATAGACAGAAAAGTGATTACAAATTCTGTTACATTTGACTTGAGAACTCCAACTACCTATTTGCCTAAAGGAGCTTATGAAGTGTTGAGTGCGGAGGTGACGAGGTTAAATCAAGGAAAATTGGAGCTAGTGGATATGGTAAGCGACCGCTTATGCTTTTTGGGACATGTCTCAGAGGATGTAAAATATTTTCCAGATGTTAGAATTCAATTTAGTGAAGGTGCTTGTTTAGCCTTGCCACCAGAATCTCTATTTGATCAAACTTTTGGAGATGCTTTTTGCATGACTATTGAGTCATCTGAAAAAGATCTCACAATTATAGGGTTTTTTGCCATGCAAAACTATAATGTTGGTTTTGACTTAGTGGAAAAACAAATGTACCTAGAATATGTTGAGTGTGAGATAGCATAAGAGTAGGATTAAGATTTACTTTAGGAATTTCTGCTGATATCGTGAAATTTAATTTATTTCATATATAAAGTGTTTGTACTAAGTTGGCTGAATTATGTAACATAAATGCCCTAAGTGGCCTTTCTATGGGATGTAACTTAATTACTAGTCACGACCCGAATTTTCCACCGTCGGGATCGTGATGACGCTTAACATTGTACTCGCTAGGCAAGCCAACGTTCAGAATATTTCACCTTTTTTAATTTATCTTTTAGCAATTTAAACTTAACAACAGTAAAGTAGCGAAAAATAAATGCGGAAGAACACAGTTTAAAAGATTATCTTTGAGCAAATAACAAAACCGTAATAAATTTCACCCAGAACTGGTGTCACACTCCACGGACAGTCTACGAATACTACAAATGATAATCTGAACAAAAGTTTACATCTGTCTCGGAAGTAGATAAAACAGAAATAAGACAGGATAGAATCACAAAGAATAAAGACAAGGTGTTTCACAAGCTAATTCAAATTCCCCACATTACTTACATTTCAATGCACAAAATGGAATATCACTACGATTATGAAACTTCACCATTGACAACTACTTAGGGAGACCAACCAAGATACACCATAAGGCACCAATAAGCAAATATAAACCAAAGGGGCAATGAAACGAAACCATGGAGCAATTAATACTTCAATAATGAGAACAACAATTAATATGACGCAATTAGACATGGAGACATTTAGGAGCAAGTAGTAATTAAAGCAGGAATATGCCAAAAATGATAATTTGGTGGCGCATAGGTACTCGTCACCACACCTATACACCACACATATGGAATTTCACATAGCACATAATTCAGGGATCCCTAGTCTCTCAAGTCAAGGTTAGACCAAACACTTACCTTAAGCCCACGGATAATTCAACACCCAATCACTGCTTTACCTCTTGATTTTACCATCAATTCACCCGTATCTAGCCATAATTAATTTAATAACATCAATAAACGCTAAGGTAAACAATTCCAATGCATAATCATAGATTTTCTAATATTTTCCCCAAAAAGTCAAAAACCCGACCCCAGGTCAGCTTGGTCCAAACTCAAAATTCGGACAAAAACCCGATAACCCATTCACCCCCGAGCCCGGATATACAATTGATTTTGGAATTCGACCTCAAATTGAGGTCTAAATCTCCAATTTATAAAAATCCCTAATTCTACCCAAACCCCCAATTTTTACCTTAGAAATCTTAGACTTTCTATTCGAAATGCATGAAATGCGATAGGAAAGTGAAAGAAAGTGGATTAGGATCACTTACCGAAGGTTTTGAGAAGATTTGGTCTTGGGAGTATCGCCTCTATGGTTTTAGGATTTGAGAGATACGAAAAATGGGTGAAAACCCCGTCCAGTTTCATTTTGAACAGTTGCAGATGTAGCAATTGCGACAGGAGCTTCGCATTTGTGAAGCTCGCAAGGCATCGCAATTGTGAACCTTTCGCACTTCTCCTGCTATCGCAAATGCAAGCCATTTGATCGCAAATACGAAAATCCCCTTGCCATGTTCCCTTCGCAAATGCGAATAAAAGTTCTCAATTGCGAACATGCCCAGGCCCAGCTTCCTTCGCAATTGCGATGGAAGCCTCGCAATTGCCAAGCCTGTGGGGCCCGCAAATGCGAAGCCTGGTCTCTCAATTGCGAGACTAGAGGCCTGCAACTCTGCTGAAGCATACCAGCAAATTCTCTAAGTTAAAATCACTCCGTAGCCTATCCAAAACTCACCCGAGCCCTCGGGCTCTAAACCAAACATGCATACAAGTCTAAAAACAGCATACGGACTTGCTAGTGCGATCAAATCGCCAAAATAACATCTTAAACAACGAATTTAACACCAAAACTCATGAAATTCTCAAGGTAGTTCAAAATTTCTAACTTTTCAACCAAAGGTCCGAAATACATCAATTCACCTCTGTTTTTCAACAAATTTCACATATAATGCTTAAATATTATAACGGACCTGTACCGGGCTCCGGAACCAAAATACGAGCCTGATACCCACTATATCAAAAACCATCACATTTTCCAGTTAATAATTTTCTTCAAAATTTTATTTCTCGGGCTAGGACTCTTGGAATTCGATTCCGGGCATACGCCCAAGTCCCATATTTTACTACGGACCCTACGGGACCGTCGGAACATGATTCCGAGTCCGTTTACCCAAAGTATTGACTGAAGTCAACTAAAATCATCTTTTTAAGCCAAAAATCATTATTTCTTAAATTTTTCACACAAAAGCTTTCCGGTATCTCGTCCGGACAGCGCACGCAAATCAAGGAGAGATAAAATGAGGTTTTCTGGGCCTCAGGACACGGGAACGGATTCTAAAACAAAAAATGACCTTTTTGGTCATCACATTATGACATCTAAAGTTCATGTAATACGAACGATTTAAGATGTATGAAATTGTCCTTATGTTAATCATCATTGTCATAAAGTTACAATGTACTCCTTCCACTTTATTTTATATGGTGATTGTACCTGGGTACGAAGTTAAGAAAGAATGAAAAAAAAAAAATTGAAACTTCTGATATTAAATAAGTTATGAAATTTTTCTGGTTATAAAATCATACTATTAAGGTAAAATAAAAATTCAAAGTTAGAATACCTTATTGTCGTTTGATGTAAAAAAAAAATCTAATTTTTTTTCTAGACTATTCCGTAGACAGTTTAACAAGAAAATTGAGAAATCAGAATACCTTATTGTCGTTTGATGTAATTAAATCTCACTTTATTGACAGGAGAAAATAAGATTATAAATAAGCAAAATATATATGGGGCGAAACCAACTTGCTCTTGTTACATCACTTTCAAGTTTTAACTTTGACGAGATTGTTCACAACGTTCATAGTTTCACCTAATAAAATGAAAAGCAAAAATCATTCTCAAAGACGACGGTTTGTTTTGAATTCAAGTGTATACATACATACCCAAGAGTAGTACCACAGAGCTAAAAGGTTTGTACACAAATATTTACTCGACCATTGAGTTATGGGGTTTTTATAGGGGAATTTGGCACTGTATGACAACGTAACTTAAGAAATGATTAAAAAAAGAAAATCCAATTTATGGTTATTGCCTTTGTGACGACCCGGCCGGTCGTCTTAAGAATTAACGCCCCAATCCCCTATTAACTGCTTTCCCCGAGTTTATTTATGCTATTTTTGATTTGCCGGGATGTTCGGCTTTAAGTTTCGGTGAGTTTTGGGACACTTAGTCCCTAAATGAGAGCTTAAGTATTGGAAAGTTGACCGTAGTCGGAATAGTGTGAAGACGGCCTCGGAATGGAAATTCGATGGTTCCGTTAGCTCCGTTAGGTGATTTCGGGCTTAGGGGCGTGTTCGGATTGTGTTTTGGAAGTCTGTAGCTAATTTAGGCTTGAAATGCCAAAAGTTGAATTTTTTAAGTTTCCGTTTCGATAGTGAGATTTTGATCCGAGGGTCGAAATAGAATTCCGAGAGTTGCAGTAGTTTCGTTATGTCATTTGGGATGTGTGTGCAAAATTTCAGGTCATTCGGAGGTGGTTTGGTTGGGTTTTTAATCAAAAGTGAAATTCGGAAGATTTTAGAAACTTAGGCTTGAATCCGATGTGTTTTGGGGGATTTGATGTTGTTTGAAGTGTTTTGAAGATTGGTACAAGTTTGAATAAGGTTTTAGGATATGTTGATGCCTTTGGTTGACTTCCCGGGGGCCTCGGGTGTGTTTCGGATGCTCAACGGATCATTTTTAGTTGTTAAAAAGTTGCAGATTTTGTTCAGCTGTTGCAAAGAATTTTTACCCTTCGTGTTCGCGAGTGGACCCTCGCATTCGCGAAGAGTCAGTTGAGGGAGGAAAATGCTAAGCCTTCGCGTTCGCGATGGGAGATCCGCGTTCGCGAAGGGCTGGATACTTGTGAACCGCGTTCGCAACTGGGCTTCGCGTTCACGAAGGAGGAAATTTGGCCCAGTAGAATTTACTCATCGTGTTCGCGATGAGAGGGACGCGTTCCCGAAGGTTAGGCGGGTAAAGCATCGCGTATCGCGTTCGCGTAAGAGGAATTTTGGTCAACGTCATTTTTGTGCTTCGCGAATGCGAGGCTTTGACCGCGTTCGCGAAGAAGGAATTAAATATCTGGGCAGAATGTTTTAAAAGGCTTATTTCGTGAATTTTAGCCTAGTTTTCTCCATTGTTAGGCGATTTTGAAGATTTTTGAAGAGGGTTGAAGAGGGATTCAAGGGGAATCACTTGGAGGGAACATCTTTTACTTCATAACTCATTTTTATGTGATTAAATACCTGACAAGTGGTGAAAAATTTGGGAGAAATGGATAATTAGGGCTTGAGTTTAAGAGACCCAAAAAGGGGTATTTGAGGGGTCAATTGAACTCCGATTTTAGTGTTCTTGTTATGCATAGACTCGTGAGAGTATGAGAATTCCAAAAATATAAATTTTACCCGATTCCAAGATGTGGGCCTGATGGGCGTTTTTGTCATTTTACCTAATTTTGCGTATTAGCTTAGAATTTAATTGTGGAATCAGTTACTTGAGCTGTTATTTACAATATGCAATTGAATTGAATAGATTTGGGCCATTTAGAGTCGGATACTCGTGAATGCACCCGGTAGATTCCCCCAGTACTGGGTATTTATGTTTGGGACTAAGGAACGGGATTCCGGTAGATCCCCGTGTACTATGAGCTGGACTACGGGACGGTATCCCGAGAGACTTATTGAATATGTATCTTTGGTACTTCAGGACGGTATCCTGGAAGATCCCCGGTGGATATTGTTGATGTTGAGTTGTATTTTCCCTTCGGTGTTTACATTGTTTCTGCGTAGTTGTTGTTGTCTTGTATATCTGTGTTACTTTCGCTGTTGCTCATACTTATATTGTTTTCTGTTCTATACTGTCGAATTATATCTTTTATTTAACCTCAGTAGGGCCCTGACCTTCCTCGTCACTACTCAACCGAGGTTAGG